AGCATCACAAAAACGACGATTAAAGGCTTAAATGATTCGATTGTTTTCCTAAGTTCAATGTTTTCTTTTCTTCTGGTATACCTATAACCATTTGTTCTGTATCATTTTCTATACCGAGAAAAACCAATGAATGCGTAGGACCAACATTTTTTCCTCTGCTAGCAGAATTCCAAATTCTGAAAGTTTGACATTAATAATTTACATACTTTGAAATCTCTGGCAGTAAAAATAAAATCGTTGAGGTAATGGTTTAACGTTTCTATGCCTGTTTTCGTGATAGTTACCCATTGTAAAAAATGAGCAAATTTTTCCCAAAGGGCACAACTTGCCGAACAGCCCATAGGTAAACACTGGTAATAACCGGAATGCTGACTTGACATCCATTTTTGCAAGAAATGATTTTTTTTCCTAATGCTGCAATCATTTCTAAGACTTCATCGAAAGGTGTGTAGTAAACCATACAATAATCAGGATCGATAAAATCGTTTACACTAAGACTATTTCCTTCGGGAAATGATAGATGATGTATTAAGCGCCAACCCCCGTCTTTTTTAGGAACTATACCTATAGGCGATATTTTAAAATTTGCAAGGGTACTTGATCAAATGGACCTGCGACTCGACCTAATGCCATTTCTTTTTCTATCTTTTGCTTAACTTCGTTCGGGTATTGCGAAGTTGAAACTAAATTACTACAAGTCGATGAAAAACGCTCCCTGAATATTTGATTTTAAAACCATAACTTAAACCCTCTTTTAATTCGATAGCATCTAAAGTTTTTGGATACATATCCAGGAACAAAACCATATTGTTCACATTAATAGGTGTTGTTCCTGGTTTTCTGATAATTTGATGACTGTAGTTTTTTCCAGAATCGGCGAAAAAGATGAGAGTTCTTTTCATTGATAGACACGAGGGGTTTGTTTGAATTTTGATTTGTTTCTTGACACTTTGTTGCAGGTGCTTACCAGTACATTTCAAACAACTGTGACTATATTGACAATAAGGACGGACACAAAAACCTTTGTTATTAAAATCGAAACAAACTTTTTGTTGTAGTGTATATTGTCTAGGGACACTTGAAGAATTTATATATAAAATCACAATTCTTGGTGGATTTTGTTCCAAGGAATAGAAGCATTTCTTGCTTTATTAAGGCGAAATTGCCTTTCCCCCTCCAACCAAAACCTGTTGACCAGCTAGCAGCGGCTTTTACATTTGCCATATACTTAAGCAACTGTTGTTCTGAATGAACACACAAATATATACTCATGAGAATAAGAAATGCATCTAGCCATGTTTGAATGTCTAGAATCTTAATTTAACTAACTGGTTTGACAGACAACTGACCATTATGTAAGACCAATTTGTTCTCTTGATCGTCAACTGGATGCATATCAAGTAAAGTGTGCAATTCAATAAATTCCCCTTTAACAATTTTTTGTTTTGTGAATTGCGGTACTGGCATACCTAAGTCATCGTCAACGCTTGTTACTGAATTATTTAATTCTACACATGAAGCTAAATTGCTTGATTCCAAACTTAAAGGAACTACAGTGAACCATCATTTATCTGGACGCTTTGGTTCCCAGTTAATTTGTCCGTATATGTGAAGCGTCCGGATACCTGAATTACCAGTTAAACAAGACAAAATAACATTTCAAGATACTGTTCCGAAGAAAAATCGTCCGGATACTGAAGCATCCGGATATCTGGTGTCCGGATATCTGAAGGTCCACTGTAAATTAGTACCTTCTTTTTTCCGCTGCCTGTTTTGGGTTGATTTCAACATCAATCTGTTGATCAGATACGTCGCCTGCGGCCACTGTACTTGTTAAAAGTCCAGGTGTAGCTTAATCTTGTGGCTGTCCCGATGTCAGTCCAGTGTCTTGCCTCTCAATAAAAATGGACTTGATGGTCTGTCTTAATTCAGGCAGGATTAGCTCCGATACTGATGAGGCTACTTCCTCGATGCTTATTCACTGTGTTGTAACTGGGGAAACTTCTGGCTTTTTTCCCGGTAATCTGGCTTTTCCAGCAAATTTTCTTCCTAATCTCTTGACGATTGAGGCTCCGCCTTGTGTGACGTCTGGCGAGGTTGCATTTTTTTTAAATAGTTAGATACCACCGTATTTTTGTAAATTTTTGTAGATTTCTGAAAATTGAGCTTACGCACAGCTGATATATTAAATGGGTTTACAACCTTTGTAGTATAGCGTGACGTAATGAAAGTCAAAATACGACGACACAATACCCGGGTACAGGAATAATTTTTCCTGCAGTTTTATCGGGTGCAAGTGAACTTATGGTGTCATTGCTATAATAATCGGATTTATTTTGTAGTGAAATAAATTGTATTAATAATTATTTAAATCAGAGACATCAATAAATATATAATGTCTCTGGTAAAATGACCGCATATTCTGACTTGAAATGTAAACATATGACTATATGGCTTACGTTTAAATCCTGCTGTATCATATACGAAGGTATAAAAGAAAGAAAAAAAATAAAATTCACACCAAATCTAAAGTATTAATAAAGAGTTTCAAAAGGTGCTTGGTTGCCCGGAACGTTTTGTACGGCCGAAATAAATCTTACGCGGACCGGAACGTTAATAATGGTCCGGAACCAATATTATAGGTATTTAGCGTTTCGGTCGGAACGCCAAGTTACCCAGAACGTTAATTATGCGACAACATGCATCACAGGGGAAACCCCGTATTCAATTTTAGCACAACTTCGACCGCGTTAATTTTTAATGCAAACTTTTGAATGACATAAAACACATATCATACGAAAGTTCAAACAATGTAGAAAAAATCATATTTAATTTCTAGAAAAATATGAATAATAATGCAAAAATTACGTTTTAAAACATTGATAAATTGTGTTTAAATGGCACGATGACATAGGTAAGTCGGGTTACCTGAACCCCCTACCCTATGAACAGGGAAGGACGTAGTCACTGTTCAGTGTAATCAATCGACAATGGTGTAGTGAGGCGTATGCTAAACAGAACTCGGAAGCGAGAATAATAACGTAATAGTTCGTCTAATGCAGGAAAGTAAGATACCAAATATATTTACAATTATAGTTGTAAAGGTCAGTGCAGTATACAAACAACACAAATATACATAACAAACAAAGGTGATGCAAGATAATCAGCACGAAAACGGGTCGCCATTCCACGCCGACACCTGTGACAATAAAGCAGTCAGGTGTATCGAATGCGACGAGTATACCCTATTAAAACATTTTTGTGACGTCATTCTTTTGTTTCTACAGTCTCGTATTTCAAAGAGTGTACTAGCTATAGTCCAATATTATTGTCAGGAGTACAATATTATGTCTAATATTGTACTCCAAAATAATACTGGACTGTGTAAAACAAAGGATGACGTCACCTAGATTTTGTGCAGCGAATGAATAAGGCGGAAAATAAACAAACATTATGCATTTTATATAGAAATCAACAATCTCGTAATCCAATTCAAGCAATGGAGCAATCAACATCTCATAATCCAATTTAAACTTTATAGAAACCAATTTCTGCAACAAAACTTCAAAAAAGGAGTATCTCAGAAATCCATTAGAATGTACACTCCGTCTAAACAGGTCACTGATTGTGAAACGGCCGATATTGAAGCACTTATCTTAAATTTGTGATTTTTCCGAAAACACATCCAAATAAATGCACGTACAGTGGTCCATAAGTAGAACGGTAACATTCGGACAAGTTTACACTCGATCTGTTAATATACCCCATACAACTCCGATTTTTTCCACGGAAAATTGATTTCAAAATATATTTCCAAATTCATGTACGTAAAGATGTGGTGCTTTCGATATCCATTATCCAAGGGACAAAACGGCACTTTCCTGGAATACTGCAGTATATTTGCCTACTGGTCGCTTACTATCTTCCTACGTTAAAAAAAGATCCTTCACAATACTCTCAGAATCGCTTGTTATCATGAAATCGGTCAACTCTTCTTCAACGTAAAGTGGCCCATTGTAGAACATTACATTAGGACAAGTTTACACTCGATCTGTTAATATATCCCGTACAACTCCGATTTTTTTTACCGGAAATTTTAATTTCACAATAAAAATATATTTCCAAAGTCGTTTAGTAAAAATGTGGTGCTTTCGATATCCAAGGGACAAAAAATGGCACTTTAATTTCTGGAATTTATTTGCCTAGTGGTCACTTACAATCTTCACACGTTAAAAAAGATCCTTCACAATACTCTCAAAATCGCTTATTATCATGAAGTTGCTCAGCTCTTCTTAATGCGTTCGTAGAGTGTCGCAAATAAATAATATATGATTTGGGTTCAATAAAGGTTTTTAAACCAAAATCTATTCATCCCTTTGAAAGAAATATCTGAAAACCTTAAGCACCCCATCCATCTGGTTTGGTCACCGTCACAAGTATCACATTATGACAATAGCAATACAAAAGTGCATTGAAAATATGTTTTAAGTAAGATACAAAACTCAGATGGTCTATTATGTCAGATACGGGACTGAGACTCGGTGCTTCGCACCTCGTCCCAGTCCTGTATCTGACACATTAGACCATCTTCGTCTTGTATCCCTTACGTATTGATATATCGTAGATAATGCCATCTAAAACGGCGTATGCCTTTTTATGAGCCGTGTTCAGCTTTGATAAGGACCAACTCCTATAAATGTAACTGCACTCTTGATGATAATGAAATACATATATTGCTTTTACATATTGTTAAGACACAATGAGAACTTTAAAAAGTAGTTTGCTTAAAGAAAGAAAGAAAATATGTTAAATCACATAGGTACGTGAAATTATTTAAATATAAAATGTGAAGAAAAAAGGACACGTACGGACATCGGGAAATTCCAGGTGTGAGACTAGTGATAACAGGACACATTTCATTTTACATGAAGTCATATGAGTTGAAGGTTATAAGCATTAAGAGATAATAAATATATATTATGATAATGTTTCTCTTTTAGGATAAAAGGGTCTTTTTGGAAAGTCTGCTTAGAAAGCTTCCAAGATATTCCAATTTGACACAATATATAAAGCAGGATAACTGCTTCTGTATCCAGTTTCATGTTCCCATCGATGATTTAGAACGTCGTATTGTCGAAATAACAAGTGATTTGCGATGGATTGAAAAAATTCCAAAAGAATGGGCAACGTTTGGAAATGATCTTAACAAGACAATAGATATAAGAATTGTCGAAATATCAAGTATCAAATTAGATACCACAGAAAATGATGATTGCGTTCAAAGGAGTCGAGATGAAGAAACGATTAGAAAACAGGATATGCTGCGCTTCTATCACGATGCCGGTAAAGTCCTGTACTTTAATGAGACCGGACTAAAGCAGTCCGTGATAATTGATGTTCAGTGGTTTGTTGACGTATTTAAACATGTTATCACAGATACACTACATGTGGACGGTATAATTGGATCTTCCGGGGACTGGTATGAATATTATGAAACTGGGAATCTTAAAGACACACTTTTGGAGAATATATGGGCAGATTCAAAAAAGACTGATACACTTTGTCATAAACAAACGATACTCGATTTTATGCAAAGACTGGGTTTGGTAGCTGTTGGAAAAGAATCTCACTATGTTCCATGCATGAATCGAAAAGAAATGAATGACAATCAAAAGAATATTCTACAGTCAAAGAGTAAATCATCACTTCTTGTGTATCGATTCAAAGTTCTGCCTTTTTTCTTCTTTTTCCGTCTTGTGGTTGCATGTATGCAAGAAAAAGGCTGGACTGTTCCCAAAAGTGAGGGAATATCTTATCTATACAAAAATATGGCTTTGTTTGCCTTTGGTCAGTACAATATCATCCTCTCTGTCACAGCAGATTCCATACAGCTACAGGTTCTTCATGCTCAGGATGAACAGTCATTGGATGAGAGAAAAACGCGTCAGATCCAAGGAACCGTAGAGACACATCTTAATGCAATTATAGGAACCTTTCACAAAAAACTTATGTTTGTTCGAGGCATTAGATGCCAGGAAGACAAATCTACTCCATTTGCAATGAAAATTGAAGGATATTTTTTGGAAGAAAAAGACATACAATCTGAGGATCAAAATGAAATTTGTCCTCAGCATCGACTTGAAAACAAACATAAAATCAACTTATATGAATTAAAAAAGTATTGGGTATTTTAAAGATACTACGATATTTGATTTGAACGTATAATTTTGTCTTAAGGTAGAACCTATGTCGGAGAAGTCTTTGTCGCAAGATTTTCAAACTTTTCATAATGAAAAATCAGCACTTGCTTATCAATCAGTTACAAATACATGACATGTTTCCTTGTTATTAAATGTAATGCAGCCAGTTAAACATGGTATGATAAATACATATTGCGATTTCACAATATCAGTCATTTTTAGCTAGGGGTACATGCAAAGAAGACAAGAAATTCACAAAATTACTTCTTTAAACATCGTTGTTTTTATTGTTTATCAATTGAACAGTATTAAACAATATTTACCGAGAATAAATTTCTTTTTTTTTCTCAATTGACATAAAAGATATGTCCACATGTTTAAAACTGTAGGCAAATGAACGCTATTTATTTTCAGTAAATTTTCTACCCTACATTTGTTTATATTTTTCAGAAGTCTTTGTCACAAGGTTTCCAATCTTTAATATGATAAAGAACATACCAAATGATTACGAAAAGTGAATAAAATGCGCAGTATATACGTTTCGCCTCTAACGAATGAAAGATATGTTATTTACCGATGTTAACATTCTTGACCTTTTTGCACTTACACGGATTTTATTATTAAACGGCTGTTTGGGGTTACTTTCAGATTAAAAATGCTTACAAAAAATTGTACTTTTAATCTAAAAGATCATATTTAATAGAGAAATTGTAATAAAACTCAAAGAACGTAAATAAGTGACGATTAATTATGAAAAGGAATGCACATCATTTCATGATAGATATCACAAAATGTACTCACAATCTACAACACGTACATCTTTGACTTAGACACATTTCATCAAGATATTACACTATTTAGCTAGCTATTTTTAATAGGATTTTTGCATTCCTTCAAAATAGTTACATACCATTTACATTTTACAGTAAGCTGTAAAGTACTAGAAATGACACTGAATTAATTATGACGTCATAATGGATCTAGCACAGGCTAAATACATTCACTAGTTATGATGTCATACGACGTAGGTTCTACGTTAAAACAACAACATCATTTATTTTAAAGAGAACAGAGGCTTTCACTAAGATTATAATGTATTTTCTGTACATTTGTTGATCAAAATATAATGAAGGATATGGAATTTCTGATACATGTTTATAGATACTTGTATAGTGGAGAATCATAGAAAGAAATATTTGGTATATCACTTTAGTAAAACTATATTAAAAAAACTGTTCCCCCAAAATGTGCCTGTGGACGTCATATGAAATTATGAAAGCCATGAAACAATAATTCTTAAGTTCACATTGTTAATAAAAGTATTATATGTCATGCTGGTATAATATATATGTACATGCATTCTAGAACAACTTGAGGTAAAAACAATAAGAAATCATTACATCCATCACTATCAGATAAGAGTAAGACATTCATACAAGCCATCTGCAATATTTGGCAACAACAATTTTTTTTTTGACAGATTGAAATGCATTTCTCGCAGGTTTTCCTTGAACGGGAAATGAGTAAACAGGTTTGGCCAGATAACTTTAATACTTTATGATCATCTTGTTTAATATCACATGCCATGTTATTGACAATTTTATACTGGGGAGAAAGAGGTGATCTATACAAGCTATACCTAATTTCTAAATAATGAATACTTTTTCATCTTCTATGTCCAAAAAGATTTATGCAATTTTTAACATAACTGTCTTCACAACAAGTTAAGACTTTTCAAAACTGCTGTTTGTTTGTACTCAGAGCAATACTAGAAAAGTCAAAGTTTGAGCATGATTTAGAATATTGCAAAAGGGAAGAGAAACTCAGATTGTTGTACACCTAAAGATAAATTAACTTCCATTTATCATCAGATGCGTGTAATTCATTGTTTTATCAATTACTATATTCATAATTTTAAGAAAATCAGGTTGTATGTGTGGAACACTACCTTAAATGGCCAAACCAATGTTAGACACAGAGGATTTCAACCTGTGAGCAGTAGAAAGATTTATATTTTTCTAGCTATTGATCTGAACGTTTTTGCGAAAAAGGAGTTTAAAGTTGATAAATATTTCAAGTTCACATTATTTCAAATAGTTGTCAATGTATTTTTTTTTTTACAATACTTATATTACATTACATGTACCAATGCCCTAATAAATGCTTTTTGAATTACAATAAAAGCGTAGAATATATAAAGATTTACTTGAATCCATTTTAATAAAATGATTTAATCACAATGATATTTTTGGTTCTTTTATTTCGTCATCAAATTAGGAGCACTTGATTTTTTGCATAATACTGAAAAGAGGCATTGTACAGATGAATTTTCGGTCTTCAAAGAAGTAGAACTTTGCCACAATATTTCTCGGACACTCATTAGATTTACTTCAATAATTAACTCTCTTCATTCGTTCGAATAGTGATTCATAATCTATTCTGAGGGAATCATGAAGCACTTTTTCCATATCTTTCTCGACACGCTCTTGATACCCGATCACGGGGTTGTCTCTCATGCATCTTGCCCAGGGATTAATCATCGTACTTTGCATTTTCTGCCTCTTTAACTGATTGCGGTTTATCTTTCACTTTTGTAATTTTCTGCATCGGATACACTGGTCTAAGCTCTTTCTGTCGTTATTTATCACTGTTCTATTTGACGCCGTGTAATTCTTAAAATCGAACACCTTTCCTAGTCTGCTCACATTTAACTTTAAACTTTAAAATCAGTCTTCATCTTAGATATAGGAGGAGATAATCATTTGATCCTCTCAAAAGTATTGCAAAAATTGAAATCTTTTTATTAATTTTTTTTTAAACTTTGACGTATTTATTTTCTTAATTATGATATGATGACGAATTCACCGCATTGTTACACAACGACTGTTTGAGCTCTGAAAGAAAATTAAATGAATTGTACATTATTACAGACAGTAAAAATAACAAAAAACTTACATTTACATACATTGTGCGATATGAAGAACAATTTTAAAAACAGAACATTTATTATAAAAGGAATCTTGTTCAATTTGTCAAAAAATATTCAGAGGATAAAGATCAAAATATTTTTTTTTAAGTTTGATCTATTGAAAAACAAGATGTGTGTTGTGAAACACTGATGCCAGATTATGACGAAGATTGAAGTTTTTCAATTGCAAGTCAAAATCCAAGGTCGAAAAGCCAATAATGTTGATATCTAGAAAATGGTCTTATTACAAGTAAAACATCTGTGATTTATTAAGCCCTAGTAATATATGTTCAAAGGTCATAGCCTAGAATTACGTTTTTTTTAGAAAGGGATCAAAACCTAAGGTCACGGTGAAAAGGTCAAAATTATTTAAAACTATCTAAAGGTCTTGGTCAATTTAATGGATACTCATGCATTTGAATTTAGCTGTTTTGTAAAAGTCGATCAAACTCCATGATCAAGAGGTCAAATATAGTGGCAACTGAAAAAACATCTTATCACAAGGGATTCGCCAGTGATATATGAACGCAATATCCAACCATCCAAAAGTTATTAGCAAAGTTAATGCTTGTGCAAAAAGAAACAGATAGACACTCAGATAGATAGACAGACTGATTGACGGACAGGGCAAAACTTATGGACTTCAAATCTTCTATTACGAGGGTTAAAAGAAAACAGTTTAAACCATAACAAATTTAGAGTCAATCTTATTTTGATATTATCAGTTCCAAAAACAAGATGTGTTTGTGAAACACTGATGCCCCCGTATGGCAACATAGCGAAGGTTAAGCTTTCTCAAATGCAGATCAAATATGTTGGTACCAAAGTAAGGCCTTTTCACAAGAAATGCAAAATATAAAACGCTAGCTACACCTGTTACAGGGTTATGACCAAGGTTAACATTTTTAATATAGGACAAACTCCGTTCAAGGTCAAAGGGTCAAGTTTGTTAGGTTCTAAAGAAAGGCTTTGTCTCAAAGATTACGTATGGGAAGTATGAAAGCGCTGGCCCTTACCGTTCAAAAGATATGGTCAAGGTTAAAGTTTGTAAAAAGTAAGTCAAACTCCAAGGTCAAGGTCAACGGATCAAGATTTTAGATATCCAATGAAAAGTCTTGTCACAAGGATTACACATGTGAAATATGAAAGCTCTAGCCCCTACTGTTCAAAAGTTATGGTCAAGGTTAAAGTTTGTATAAAGTAATTCAAACTCCAAGGTCAAGGTCAAAAGGTCAAAGTTCAAATGAAAGGTCTTGCCATAAGGATTAAATTTGCGAAGTATGAATGCCCTAGCCCGAACCTTTCAAAAATTATGCTCAATGTTGTATTTTAAAGTATATTAAACTCCAAGGTCAAGGTCAAAGTGTCAAGGTTCTTGGTATCCAATAAAAGATCTTTTCATCAGGATTATATATGTGAAGGACGAAAGCGCTGGCCCATACCGTTCAAAAGTTATGGTCAAGGTTAAAGTTTGTAAAAAGTAAGTCAAACTCCAAGGTCAAGGTCAACGGGTCAAGATTTTAGATATCTAATGAAAAGTCTTGTCACAAGGATTACACGTGAAATATGAAAGCTCTAGCCCCTACTGTTCAAAAGTTATGGTCAAGGTTAAAGTTTGTATAAAGTAATTCAAACTCCAAGGTCAAGGTCAAAAGGTCAAAGCTCAAATGAAAGGTCTTGCCACAAGGATTAAATTTGCGAAGTATGAATGCCCTAGCCCGAACCCTTCAAGAATTATGCTCAATGTTGTATTTTAAAGTATGTCAAACTCCTTTGTCAACGTCAATGTGTCAAGGTTCTTGGTATCAAATAAAAGATCTTTTCATTAGAATTATATATGTGAAGTATGAAAGCCATACTTCTTATTGTTCAAAAGTTATAGCCAAGGTTAAAGTTTTTTCATAGGTACGGAAATCACCAAGGTCAAGGTCAAAAAGTTAAGGATGTTGGTATTCAAAGAAAGGACTTACCACAAAGAATGTATATGTGAAATATAAAAGTCCTGGTATCTAGTGTTCAAAAGATA